ATTAGGCTTCCGGCACCACACTCATCAGACGAAACGCGGAACCGCTTCCACTTCTCGACTGTCTTCTGAGTGGTCGTAGTATTACACCAGGCGAGCCGACCCATTCGTGCGAAGATGTTATATCGGGCTCTACCACTGTTAAATTCACGGTTACTGGCCAAATATATTTTTCATTTTTATTTTTCACGTGCTAACAATAATCGATTGAAAGTTAAAGGTTTTTATAAAATATTTTTTTAAGTAAGCCGGTGTGCGAATCTTCCCTTTGTCCAGGACCGTATGGAATTTTATAGAACAACAACGCTGCCCTAGATGCCGACCGGGATAAAATACGTGTGAAATGTCTTTAATATCGTGAGCATAGCATTGAAAATATTCCGATATGACCTTTACACGCGATTCAATCACGAACAAATATTTTCAGTACACTTGGGAAATATACTATGATTGAATTACATTTTGTTTTGTTGAGAATTGTTCGATTGTTTACTCATACTCAATTGTTTACTCCTACTCAACTTATCACAGTTTCAATAACGTTAGAGGGCACCTTGACAAAGTGTGAGATAAGGAGGGTAAAAAAGAGTTTGGTGGAGATAAAAGATCAGGAGAGAAGGAAATCTGCGATCCAGTCTTTTCAATAATCATAATTTAATCATAAAGTTTCTGCTACGCATTTTTGTTACGCCTACGCCAAGGCCTACGACCTCGTAGCAATTACCAATTCCAAGAACCGAAGTACTCAAGCCTTACTCGTGGCTCCAGTTTTATATGTAATTTATAACATTAGAACCCGAACTCGGGCTAGTGATGGAAATCTCTAGCTTAGTTACTTTTAAAAGAGCTTTAGCCTAAGCAACTGCGGTCGACTGCCTTAAGCCCGGTGAATCTGTAAATGTCTCTTCAAGACAAATAGTATCCACTCATGCCCAGTCACGTTAATAGCCAAGTACTTGTTTTGACGTCACAGTCTTTACATTTATGCAATTTATTGAAGCGGAAATTTGAACTTTGAAATTCAGTAGCCGAGTTAGTTGTATTAAAATGTATTGTTGTCTCTCTTTATTTCTATAAGGATGAGAGGGATAACAGTATGTTTTTATTTAAGTGCATTGAATTTGGAAACTCAGCGTTAGCGTTGTCTGCATTCTTGTTATAAACGTCATACGTTTAAGAGCTTGTTGACTGAAACGGTGCGTATTATATACTCGTCTAGATTTAGCACAAGATAGTTTTGTTTACCAGCAATAGCAGGCAATTATATTACGTTGGCACGTTTGTCGATTTGTCTGAAACTAATTATCATATCGATCACGCCTGTCGATCGATAAATCTTTTGTTGAAGTTTTTAGGAGACCAATGTCTATTTTAATATTTCAGCTCTTTGTATTCATTATTCTTATTCACATGTATTTATTCAGTGGCGTATTAACTACGATACTAAAATTTTTCATTATTGTTTAATTACAAAACTGTGCAGTTTTATTTTAAGTTTATTTTCCGCCACTCAGTTAACTTACTACTTAACTTTAAAACATTACCATTTTGTAAGTAAAAAAAAACATCATCATCACCAGCTGTGGGGCTCAGAGACTACCCTAGGGAGTGACTATCCCTTAGTCAACAACGCTGTCCCACCATTGCTTGTTGGTTGACTTCACACATATGTACGTTTAAAATTGTTCAATGATATGCGCAAGGTTGCATCACGATGTTTTCCTTTACCATCCATCATCAGTTTACCATCAGAACGTCGGGCAATTTCTGTTACATATGAAATTTGAAATTAGAAAATCACATTGGTACATGGCGGGATTCGAACCCACACCTGTAAATAACGAGTTCTGTAGAATACCTATAGAGTACAAGTGCTTAAACTCCTGAACCATCGACGCTTTTAAAGTTGCATTTATTGTAAAATATCAAAGAGGATTATAGCTGAAGCCAATTAGGAGTTAATTGCACTAATTAATTCATAAGAAGCTTAGAGATCGCTCTAAGCTTGTTCTTTAAAAAGGTAATATCTTATACTCTTTAAGGGTAATTTGATGGAAAGTACTCAGCATTGTTTTGTTTTCGTATAATTTGTTGATGGAAAAAGACCTTTTTCATTTTTTATTTTACCTTAATTTTAAAAATACCGTAGAGAATACATATTTATTTTTATTTAATTAGCTCAAGATGTTAAATCACCAGTCTTGGTATAAATCAAGGTATATTAAGTCAAGAGGTGCCAAAGTCCTCTATACAGGAAAGTCAGTGAACCGTTACGTCCCGCCGACGCCGCCGCCGCCGGGAATTAGTGAGGTTTGTCAACACTAGCTACTTCCTTCCCGTTTCACTGTGACAACCTTATTTGTCAATTGTGTCGTACGTCTACGGCTACCAAAGGAGTTCTTAATTTATTATTTATTATAGGAGTAGTAAGAGAAATTTATAATTATGCAAGAATTGGTAAAATCTTTTGTAATTTTTATAATGATATATTAACATATGAATTCGTAAACAGAGACTGTAGAATGTGAAATTTGATACATTTAAAATTAATTTGTAGAAGTGAGGTTAAACGAAAGCTTTAATAAAAAAAATTATGACCGACTGTCGATTACTAGAACTATTACTTATTTATTTCTTATATTCTTCAGTTAATTTTCTTTAAAGAAAACAGCGATGGAAATTCTTTGAAACGTACTAAACAACTTAATAAAAAATGATACATAAATATGTTTTCTTTCAAGTTTCAATCAATAAGCGCTGTCAAAAAGTACTAACATCCCTATTATACTAATAAGTGAAGTGATTTGTACCCCTTTTTAAGAAAATTCTGCAAAGGGGTGAATGTAAAATGTGATACAGATAAAATTAATGGGGCGAAGAAATGCAAAATGCTACTTGATTAAGAATTAAAAAGTGAAAAAGCCAACTTTTGTTTACGAATTAAGGCTTACATTAATTGGTTATTATTTCTTATCATTTGAAAATAAAGCAGTATCAAACTAACTGGCATCTAATTAATTTCGAATGTCTAATATCTTTTAAGCAGCAAAATGTTAGTTGTCATTTCTTTTTTAAGCTGTTAATAAAAATGTAAAAAGATCAAACAGATGTTGACTGTAACCGCCACAGAGGGCGCTGTTGGTTGGGGCAAGGGTGTGAGGATGTGTCCTCACCCTGTACTACCAATACACAAACTATCCCTCCGGGCCTTAATAATGTTACAAAATCTGTCAGCCGTGCGAAGTACACTAATTAAACATTTTTGTATTGATGTATTTTTCCGATAAAAGATTTTATTTGTGTTTAAACCTGTCTATGGTTTTGAAAAGTATTGTGTTATAATAATTATAGTCTACCGTCCTAATGGCCGGTTTTCCAGCTACATTTAATCGTTTGTTAGTGCTTTTGGTTCAATATCTTTATGAATTACGTAACTAGAGTTTTACTCCGTTGAAGCTTAGGTCAACTTAACACTAATTAATTCAAACAATAAAATAAAAAGTTTTTTATTATTATAACTAAAACGATTTTTATAAGATAAATGAAAACAAAATTAGATCGTCAACAATGGGCTACAGGCTTAGCGTCGACAACAGCGTAGCACCACTTCTTGATATAATTATATTCCAATCAACGTTGACCCAAAGTTATGGGTTTTAATAAAACAAAGTAGACAGTGGTTCAATAACAATATAGTTTAAACATACGTCAACCCTTTCATACCGTGACTCGAGAGTACGGCGCAAATTTTCGGCAATTACAGGTTGGATGGGGTCGGGTAGGCAAGCGAAATGCGATCTTAAGCAATAAAAAATAAAGAACTTTTACGAATGCAGAGTCCTGTTACATATTTTTAGTGAAACATATATCTACGTTGACGGTCTTAATATCAGTCAGCGGCGGTCAAAGAGTAAAAACACATGTTTAACTAAACAGTGTCTTATTTTAATATAAACTACATCATTCATATTTTTCATACTAATATTATAAATGCGAAAGTTTTGTTAGAGTTTGTAGCCTCAACGCCTGAACGGATTTCGATAAAATTTGGCATCGACGTAGACAGTCTGGAAGAACACATAAGCTACTCAATTTATTTTTTTCCACACGGACAGAGTCGCGGGTGAAAGTTAGTACAATATACATATTTTAAGTATCGTTAGGCATAAAATGTACTACATTTATTTGTCATATTTATTTTCGTAACCTTCAAGGCGACCCTAAAATCAATACACGTGCGGAAAATAAATCCGAATTGCGTAAACAAGTACTATCAATCGGGTTTGATTTTAGGTCAAAATATCAATTCCTTGTAATATATAAATAATATAATTTATAAAGTTTCTTGAAAACACCAATCTTCTTGCTTGTTATTTTTTAAGAACTGATTGAATTAATTTCCAATCGAAACATATCGTGATATACTTACTAATGGATCCATAAGAACCTCTAGGCTTGGTATTTAAGAAGTATAACATACAAAAGAACAATTTGCAAAATGTTTGTCTCTCCCCGTATTTATTCCGGTTAGTCTTTAAAACGGTCCTCTGGAAAATCTCTATGTATTTTTAAAATACTTTACAGTTATAGGCAACATGTAGTTCATAAAAAACCAAACGTTTTCCGCGACACCCTTCCCTCTCATGGGGTGTGCGGTAGAACTGGCGGGGAGCACAAAGGCTGAAATTAAATTTAGGGTTCAAAAGTTGACAAAAAATCGAACAACGTTTTTGAAACTGGTGGGATTTCGACAATCGTTGACATATACCTAATCCATTTTACTTTTTACTAATGTTATAAATTTGAAAGTAGATGGTTGGATGGCTGTTTTTTAGAGTTTGTAGTCTACACGGCTGAACGAATATCGATGTAATTTGGCATTAATGTAGAGGATAATCTAGAAGAACACATAGGCTACTTTATTTTTTAATTCCGCACCACGTAGACGCGAGCGCAATTTACTCTTTCCGTAGTTCCTTACTGAGTGAGAATTTTGTTCACAGTGTTTGGCGACTCTATAAATTCACCGAATCAGTTCGGGGAATCATCGATTGAAGCTTTGATGTCTTTTCTGAACGGATTCATAATAACTACAACGTATAAAGGCTTGGTTGTGGTTGTTTCTCCAAACATCCAGAAATATATTGGATATACTGAGGTAAGTTTGTATAAATTGTTATTTTTGATACCACTATATTAGCTTGTCTACCAAACTTTGATAAGTAGATAAAAAAAAAATTCAAACTTTATCTGTCCACTGTTAGAAGGCCTTTGCCCATGTTTTCCATATTATTAGTACTAAATTCCAAATCTGCTATAATTTTAGTATCAGATAACTTACGTACATTTGGTGTTGCGTTGCTCAAGCCCAGTGTGGTTACTAAAATTTGATCCTACCTTAATCAAAGTGAAACTCGACTGGTGCATATTCAGCAATGCATATACGATGCATTAATACTCGTAGAAACTTTTCAAACAATAATTACATTAAAATTATTTGAACTTTCGTAAGACATTTTTGTAACTTTAGTGTGTCCAAATAATTTAGATTAGTTTGTCAATTCTTTTCAAGTTTGTAGGGATGGGTTGTGTAAAATCAGTCATGAATCTTATCGATTTTCAATTTTTGTTCTTATAAAAGTTGGTATCGATAGATTTATAGTTATAACTTATGAAATAAAAAAACACTGTTTTCATAAATTAATAATGACCATAACAAATAATGAGAGTGAATAAATGTTTATCACTACTACAGCCGTACGTAATCGAATTGGATTTTGCTATTATTTCTGTAACCGCTAAATTCTCTACTCTATTATCAATACTAGAATTGTCCTCTAAATTAGTGAGTAAGAAAATAATAATTTTAGTTAAGTTCGATAATTATTTATAGCGAATATCGATAGCTCAAAATTGTTCGCTATATTTGTTAGTTTCGTCACTATGATACCTGTTTATAAAGTACGGCATTTGGCTTCATACAAATTGAATTCGATACTTCATATGCGTTATTTATCAATCTAATCTATAATCTATCTTATTTAGACACACTATAATTATTTTAAGGGGTACACACGTCTATTTTTTCGTTGGCGGTACTGACCGTTTCAGAACCTGCGCGGGTCCTTCTTCAGGGCGAGTGTTACTGGGGTAGTTTCGCGGTCGCGTCGCACCTCGCACTGACGACCCTAGTAACACTTGCCCTGAAGAAGGACCCCGCAGGATCTGAAAGTGGTCGGTAAAATAATTAGTAACAAATGTAATAATTTTGATGATAGCTTGCAATGTTACGCGCAAAATATGAAAGTGAAATAAAAATAAAACCTTTCAAAAATTATAAATAAACATCTTGTAATTTTAAATAAAGCTAATGGTAATACGTTGTCTATATGTGTACTTCAACTACTTTACCTGATAAGGGAAGCAAATATTAATGTTCCATACTTCACTTGGGGCTTATATTCATAGTCGACATGGAGCAGTTGGTTTGGACAATTTAATACTTTCGGCTTCAGGTCAACAGCATTTTTAGTACACAAATAAGGTCCGTATATGGCGAATACCGAGTAGTAAGTAATCACCAACGCTGATTGATTTAACTAGTCCGTGCACAGCGACCTTTAGTTTCGTAGAAAACGTTTATTGTCCGTTAGAGGTCCAATCAAACTGTGGGCACTTTTGTACCGTGTAACAAATAAAACTTTGTAAACGAACAAAGTAAATTGAACGAAATTGAACGTTTGAGCTATTGACAAAGCTGATTGAAGTTCGTCGTATGAACATTATTAAAAGTTTACAAAGCAAATACAATTCCATCAAATGCTATAAAACAGAAATAAGATGAAAAGAGTAAAAGAGTCAATTAGAACATTTTCATTTTCACCTGAAAAATCAATTGTACCAAATGTTTTGTTTTGTAACGCAACAATTATCTTAGTCATATTATAAATGCGAATGTTTAGGTGGATGGATGTTTGTTAGAGTATGTATCCTAAAGGGCTGAACGGATTTCGGTGAATTTTGGCATGGATGTGGAGGATAGTCTGGAAGAACACATAGGATACTTACTTTTTTTTTTATAAATCCATGCGGACGGAGTCGCGGGCGAAAGCTAGTTATCTACAACGATACCATGATTGTAATGATAAATAATATAATTGAAACGCAAGAATCGATACGTTTAATAAATAATGTAATATCAAAAAAAAAAAATAGGTCCATGATGCAATCTTTATAACAAAAAAAACAGTTTCAAATTCTTTACCTGGCTATATACAAATACGCCTTTGTTCTGAATAATCTAAAATGGCTGGACCGATATTGACCGATACAATTCTATTAAATTATAGCTTCGAAAGGGAGTTACAAAGCCTGCTGATTTTTTCCTATAATGACGATGTTCCGCAATCTGTGGGAGGTTTGGGGAGGATAAAGGGCATATAAAGGCTGATGATAATGATGGTGATGGTGGTGATGATGATGGTGATGGTGATGATGATTGATGCGGACAAAACTATTGATAAATAATCGAAACGCAGCAATAATGATGATGCTTTTTTTACAGTTGGACCTAATCGGTCATAATATTATAAATATCATCCATGAAGAGGATCAACAAATGATGTTGAACCAGTTAATGCCAAAAAGCTTCCTCGTGGGGTCTAATGACGAAATACTTTTTCCCGATGACATGGAGTCTAAAGAAAAAGTCGCAGAAGCCCTCGCAAATGAACGGAGAAGTTTTAATGTCAGGTAACATAAATGTGTTTCTTTGTAAAGAGACAAAAAATTTGCGGAGGTTATATTTATTTTGTAAGTTTTGGTAAAAGTAATTACACGGCACCAATCTGGTATAAATTGTGAATTGCATTTTCAGTAGGGTGAATTTTGATGTAGTAGTGTAGATCAGAGCTGAGCGAAATGTTGGGGCTTGAAATTTGTAAAACGCAATTTTACTTCGCGATGGTCTCTAATATGGTTAGCCATACTTAACTTTGCTAGCGATGCCACTGTTTATGTAATTACTGAATTCTATTCTCCCTTGACATAACCTGTATTATTTATATATCTTTTATCGACAGCGAAAATATTGAATTAAATTTGTAGCGAGTAAAAATTGTTAAGAGATAATAACAACTATGACATTCAAATTTAACAGGTTCAAAAAGAATGGTCAACGCTCCCAGCCACACAAATACGTCAACTGTCATATTCAAGGATCGTTCAGGAAATCAGACAGAGCGAGTATGAACAACAGTCGCCATAATCAAATATTGAGACGTCTTAGATCAAGATGCCCGAACTGGTCTACGAGCGGAAACGATGCGGTAAGTGTCATCTCCACGAGAGATTGAATTCCAAGATCCTGATCTCCGGTGTTACTGTGGAATTATGTACGAGCAATCCCTACATTGTTCTGTTCTTATTTAAGGTATAAAAATCAAATTTTTCCCCTATCGAATTAGATAGTTGGTTCAAACTTTATTATTATTAGTACAGATAAATATACATCTTTTTTCAAGATTTTTTCGAAAGTTATAAAATAAATAGATAGATTTAAAAGTGTAAATACTTTTTGGATCTTCGTTAGGAGAGATGTTTTTCAATAGTCATTTTCACAAACAACATTTTTCGAGAATATTTGTACCTTTGTCAATTTAAGACTAAAAAAATCTTTTAGTGGCTTAATAACAGTCTACTCGTAGTTAGACAGTTAATTAAAAAGGAAAATGATAACAAAGTTATATCCTAGAGAAAAGATGTTATTACGCGAAGTCTTTGTGGTAATAGAATGTCAATGTGAAAAGCACAAAGGCAGCTTTGTAAGGAAAGGATAGCATTTTACATGTTTGAGTAAATAGAACATCGTTAATAGAATGTTCTATCTATTGATGTCAAAGATATGTCAAATAGAAAGATGCTCTTTTATCATAAAATAATATAATAAAAGAAACGTGAAGTAATAAATGAATCACATTTAATACGAGTAGTTTGAAACATTACCTTTGGTGAGATTGTTATCGGATAAGTTGGGAATTTGTGCCGTCTATGACACCTTGAATTAAGACAAAGCACCTTTCTTTGCACTTACCTATTACAGGAGTTTCGAAGCTGTATTTCTTAAGAAAAAAAAGCGAAAAGCGAACAGACTCAAAAATATCTCTCACCTATGATGTCTCATCATCTTCCTCCTTATCCTACTCCCTGGTACAATTGGTTTTTGTCCTCCACATAACTCTATCATACGTCATCTCAGTCATCACTCACTTCTTGATTATGTCACCTTTCACGCAATCCATCAATCTCTTTCTAAGACTACCTCTACCCGGTGGTAGATGTAAACCTAGAGATGGATGTGTACCCTTCCACTCTCATAACTAACGTTCTCCTTGTTACATGCGATTCATCGCTCCTAGCTTCACTTATGATCAGTCTGATTAACATATAACATTTTCATCTCCGCAGAAATAGAAAGATGGAGAGAACGGAGATGTTAGTTTATTTTTTTCTGACTTTCTGTATGTTCCAGGTGTTTGTCGGCCTTGTGCAACCTACGTATGAAACATTTGAAACAGAGAGTAAACTAGATTCATGCCTTATGGAGTATCGCACGCGGCATTCTATAGACGGCGAGATCATAAGCTGCGATTCTAGAATATCCATCGCTACAGGCTATATGGCAAACGAAGTCAAAGGAGTCAACGCAATGAACTTCATGCATCGGGATGACGTCCGATGGGTTATAGTAGCGTTGAGAGAAAGTAAGTATTACTTACATGTTACCTTTTTATAACGGTCGAATACTGGAACAAATCATAGTCTGCTACAGAAGCTTTTTCCAACTGAAAGGTCGAACTATTCAGTTAAACTGTGCATTAAAACACTTTGATTCGTAAGCGTGGTCTACAATGTGACAGACGACAAAATTTTAACGGAATTTAGTGTTTAAGCATGGTCTCTTTATATAAGACACTGTTGCATAAATCTCGTTTTAGTATTCGGCCATAAGTACTGCATGTTTGATAATTTTTAAGCTCTTGGTCTTATGTAGTTTTATTTATGATGGCACTCTTCCGATCGAATGTGTTGATATTTTTTGCTATATTTGATACAATAGTATGCGTGTCTCTAAAAACTTGTTTTTCATTTTTATTGAACCTTTCCTTCCCAATTAAAGTTTTTTGTTTGAACATGCTACTCGTAGCTATTATAATTTTCTTTTTCCCTTTCAGTGTACGACCAGCATCGTTTGTCGGGGGAATCTTGTTATCGTTTGATGACAAAATGTGGAAAATTCGTTTACATGCGTACCAAAGGCTATTTAGAAGTCGACAAGGATACTGGGGCGGTAACGAGTTTCGTTTGCATCAATAGAGTGGTTGACAAAGTGGAAGGCAAGCAACTTAACATGGAAATGAAGAAGAAATATAATATGTTGGTGAACAATAGCGATGAAACACCACCGGAGGATGATGATGATGACGATGATGATCCAGAGGTACTTTAATAGGTAGATCATTTAAATGTGTCGTGGCTGAAGTACAGCTAAGGTTATAATTTTTTTTATAAAATGTATATTATTCGGTGCTAGAATGGCTTATTTTCACAATTTAACTGCAGCCTCGGGCATGCGGATAATATAGTAATCGCATTTAACGGTTGTCTATGGGAATTTTAGGTTTAGGTAAACAGAAAGGTTTACTGATCGTTAACCCCAGTTTAAAAAAAAATTCAAATTTGTTTTTTTTAATAACGTAAGATTGTATAGTTAAGAGACTGAACAAACAATTGAAAAAAAGAGTCTCAAACTAAGCCGCATAAATATGCGGATGTAAATATGGTATAAATGGAATATTCAGCAACCCAGCATTAGTTAAATAACTAATACTGGGTTGCTGAATATTCCATTTATTTAATCGTTACCTAGGGACTTATTAGCGTTAGGTTGATCTAAGTTTCAACGGTGTAAAACTTAAGTTAGTTCGGAAACTAATTTTATGAAGTTATCGCAGCAATACATTAACGAATGTAGTAGCTCGGAAACCTGCCATAACTCATGAAAATTGACAGTAAAACCGATTATTATGAATACAGTTTTTGGTAACCCTTTGTGCGTCGAATATTTATTTAGCGGTGAGGACCCGACTCTCGCGAAGGACGTTGGCGTTTTTATTTAGTTATAATAATAAAACAACTCCAATGTACGTAATGAGTACTGCGAACAGTACTTTATTAAAAAACACCAATTTACAAATTAAATTTTGCAAGCTTTGAATTTGATTAAATTTTTATAATTTCAAACTAACTATAAATGACAATACAAAATGTTGAACCATTATCCTTAACGTAAATTGTAACAAAATCCCTAACGAAACCCCTTAATTTTGTCACTATTTCCAAAAAATATATATATCGACATAATTGCCAAAATCTGGTATTCTAAGCACAAGACAGAAACGAAAGGCGGGTACTCTTAAGTATCCACCCCTAAATTCCGGAATTCTGAGTGGGCGTTGTATTCTTTCCGAGTCCTCGCCAACCCCAAAGCTAATAAACTTACGCTTGGCTTAAGTTCAACTAAGTTCATCCAAGTAGGGCAAACTTCCCGCTGCATCTTCTGATACACGTTCTGTTCCGTTTATCTATTCGTATCGAATTTAGTATTTATGTTTTATATTTTTTTTATTAAAAAAATAACTTAATTAAAGTAAATGTAAGTCATCCCTTTGTCGAAATTCTATCATAAGTCATTATCAAAGATTTTTTTTATTTGTGACCGATTTCTTACAATAAATGTACAATTCATTTTTTTTCTGCCGGTGTATCAGTCTATTGGGTAATTCGCATTTGTTTCCATTAATCCCGAAACTGTCGGATCGATCTTGTTAATAGAAAATTAACTTATGTACGCGGGAAAAACGTAGGTTTACCTTTTTTTTACACGATTATAAAATAATACGGTAATAAAACATTGTACAATTTCAATACGAACTTATCAAAGATCGGTGAATGCATCATCAATTTTTCTATGTAATTTGATTGTACAGCGTAGCCGGGACCGTCGCTAAAACTCACCTGCACCGTGAGGTATCCAAACGAGGATGTAAAAAAAGTTAAAAAAGTTTGCTTTTATAAAATTAAGAGATCTATGTAAATAGATGATACACGGTGTTGCACTTTCAGAAATTTTGTGTTGCGTAACTAATTAAAACAATATTTCGCATTCAAGTTACACCACTTAAATTAATAGTTAAGTTAGGTTAGGTTAGAATATTTAAGGTTGCAATGAATATGTACTAAAGTATTCGTTATAGTTAATTAACTAACTTAGAACTTGTAAACTTAAGCTGAACAATTTCTAATACACATTTCATCGATGACGTTAGGAATATTTCCTCGCAAAATTCATCCACCTGTAGACATATTTAAAAACTAGTTGTTACCCGCGACTTCATCCACGAAATATTAAAATAAAAAGTAGTCTATAACATGTCTATCTATGTCAGCTACCCTTCAGTGAGAGTCCGGTCGAAATCGGCCCAGCCGTTTCGGAGATTATCCCGAACAAACAGACAGAGACTTAAAGACATCAAGAAAAAAAATGAAAAAAATTTTGATAAGTGTAAATAATATATCATGTGCACGTAATAAAAAGTAGTTATTAAAAAAGAAACTCCAATTTTTTAAACAATATAGAAAAATAGTTCAAATATAATTACTAAGACTTACCTGTGTGAAGTTTCACTCATTTCAGACGCACACAACTTGAATAAGCGTTGACGTCAAACACGATACAATGACATAGTAAACACGACCCTAAAAGTATTGTAGAGAAGGTTTAAAATGTTCTAAAGTCTTAAGGGGTTACGTTTTCCCGGAGTGAAATAGGAACAGATGTAATATATGTATCTGCGTAGTTATGAATCTAGTACGAAGCTGTAGAGTAGTCCTGTAACGGTCGTGTTCGGTGCCAGTCTCGCTACAGCGTCCAAGGGAGAAATACGTGCCTTTTGCCGATCGGGAGTTAAAAACTTAGGCAGTTTTTCATAAGTGCATAAGCTTACATTAGGTGTGGTATATTTTCCATTAATTATTTTATTCAAGTTAATTAAATTAAAATGTGTTTTCATATTTTGTCTTTCCTTTGCTTTAAGAAGAAAATTTGTATGTTTATTGAATTACATAAACTTATACAAATTAAGTAAAAGGGGGTGTAAATTTGTACTGTTTAATTTTTATCTTTGTACTTAAATATTTACTGTTATTATTTAATTGCGGTCTATTTTTAATTAAATTTTTAAGAGGTGTTGAAATATTTATTAAAAGCGATGTATAGACTCTAAAAATGTGAAAATAATGGTGTTGGTGGTCTTCAACAGGTTTGTTATTACTTTTTAATCATCTTAATAAATAATTATAAAAAATGCTTATAGTTAAATATTTTAAAGTGTCAAATCTTAAGCCATAGTTTATTAGTCTTGCTTCTTTGTACTATCGTTATTTTTTTGTTTTTTTTTTAGAAGTCTTATTCAAACGTGTAAATATGTGTTAAACATCGTACTTTTTTTTTTAATTTCATTAAAATATTGAAATATATTAAAGTATCATTTTTTTACTACTTCTAATTTTGAGTATAGCTTTATCAAATTAAATTAAAAAAAAACGATCGCAGCGCCACCTACCGAGTGCAATCGTAAATTACGCTTCTCGCTACAAACATTGCTTCATACTCGTACGTACGTGTACATATCATAGCTAAAATAAAAAATAATGATTTTAAATAAATTAAATGGTTTCTGGTAGAAATTATGACTATTCGAGAGTTATGTACAATTTTTTTTTTTGTTGCAGGTTTACGGCTCCCAAGGCCTACCTGTTGAAGATCCTCGACAATTGCAGAAAGTTATCCTACATTTAGTAACCAACTTACCGTCTCCCAGTCCTGATACAACTCAATCAAACTCTCCATTCCAAGAAGAGCGATCACCGTATCGACTTTCTATAATACCTCCTAAAAAAGAGAGAATTTTTCATGCTATTGATAAAATATATAATGTTATTGAATGTTTTAAGTATAGTTCTGAGTATTTAAGATATAAAAAACTAAAAATGTCTAAACGTCCACCAAAAAAAGAAAAATCCGGTCCTGATAAACCTAAAAAACCTAAAAAATCACATTCAGATTCCACATCCCGAACATCAAATAATGAACAACCTAAACCAGATACCTCCACTTCTCAAAATATAGAACCACTTATACCGGATACTCCCACTTCCCATAACATAGAACCATTCGGCTTTTATCCTGACCTAATTCCTGGGACGACAACTGAAATATCGCCTCAAGCTGGACCATCAAGCTTACAGAGGCCTATCGATCCTCTTCTACTACGACGACTTTATGATAACGAATCGGATTACAAAACTGAGAATCATGCGCAAGTTTCGAATACTATGAAAGATAGTATCAAAACTTACGCGCTTATGATTCCAGCAATTGTAAGCCGTAAGTTTTGTAACAGTCCTAGTGAATTTTTAGAAGAGCATCGTTACATCCAACCATTGAGTCCGACGCCAAACGTTGATACAAATAGACAGTCTACAGATACCAGCACTCTTCTGCAATCACACGAAGCGCCATCAGCGAGAAATATGGAGGAGTCAAATAGTTCGGCTCCTAGAGATCCGGGCAGTGGTAGCACATCAGATACATCGGCGCTTCCTAGCAGTAATAGAGATAATGACTATCGTACAACGAGTGATGTTCGTCCAAACATTCCACCTACGTATTATCCAGATTATGGGTACCCACAAAATTGTCCAGAAGAAATTCAGCCGCCTCCTTCGAGAACACCTGTATTACCTTCACCTATACAACCTCCACCTATGCAACCTCCACCTATGCAACCTCCACCTATGCAACCTCCACCTATGCAACCTCCACCTATGCAACCTCCACCTATGCAACCTCAACCTCTACAACCTCTATCTATGCAACCTACACCTGTACAAAATTATTACATACCTTCAGATGTACCATATTTACGTATACCTGCCTCACATGTCCAAAATTATTCTACCTCCCCTTTCCCTGTGCCGAATTATCCTATACCACCATCACCTTATCCGAATTATGGTGTACCTTCATTTACACCGAATTATCCTATACCACATTCACATATACCACATATCCAATATCCAGTCGATCCCTTTTGGCAACAGGCTTTCCCAACTTATATGGGACGCTTTTATCAAACAGAACCCTGTACTGAAGAACCCGTTGGAAGTTCGTGTGAACAGAATTATACCACTGAAACCATATCATTTCCGAGTACCAGTCAATACCTTGACAGTATCGATACTTCGAAATACTTTCAAGATATAAATATACCGCAACCCGCGAACACAACGCAAGAAGAATTAATGGAATGCTTAGGAGGTAAATTTACTTTTTTTTTTAAATAGGTAGACTGATGACTTCATGACGAAAGTCGCTTAATGTGGAAAGCTGAGGACCGCATTCTATAGGATTCAGTATCGAAGTCCTACATCCAACAGTAAACCTACGCAAGCTGAGAATAATAATTACATTTTTTTTATTAAATTTTAAAGACACTTTATCACAATACGACTATATAGCACCATATTTTTTATTTGGATAATATGTAGTTTTTAAAGAATTGTTATAACTTTAAATCCAAAATTATTTTGTTTTAGATCTTGATCTAGCTAATGACGAATCACTTGACGATGCCTTCTTAGATGACTTGATTCGAAATCACATATCTCAACATGTAAGTACGTATAATATATTTTTCGTATTTATAGGTATTCTAAATATTGCCCGCGACTACGTCCGTATAGTGTTTAAAAGTTCAAAACAAATTTTCTCCCCTACCGTCATTAAAATCTTTATTGGAAAAAATTGAAAACAGCTTGACTGAATAAGTTGATTCTTTTTTCTGAAAGCATATAACATTACTAAACATAAATATTAAAGAAATAATAACACTCGAGCAACAAAATTTGGACCCCCTTTTGGAACTTTACGTGACAAATTTCTAAAAATCCTAGTGGACACCTACGTACCAGAAATCTCATGCAAAATTTCAAGTCTCTTGACCCAGTAGTTTTAGCTATGCGTTGATGGTTGAGTCAGTCAGTTTGCTCTTTTATTAATGTAATACATGTAGATGCAGCCAACGTATATACATACATAAAATATGCGAATGATTTAAACAAGGTATTTTATCGAAGCGCTGACATATTCTTTATATTGCGAACTTAAACTTTCGCGATTGTTTTATCTACTCGTAATTATCTGCTGTGCTGACAATCTGCGAAAAAGTAAAGTTATTTACTATAAATTACATATATACATATTGATATACCATTTATATGTCTTTAGTCAAAAGTGAAATTGAACGTTGCGCTTACGCATTTTTTTTCACTTAAATATAAAATTACTTAAAGATATCCCCTGATGACTCTACATTGGAGCAACAAGGTCAACCTTTGTCAGTATCGGAAGATCATTTGATTCTATACATTGGTATGGAATTAGTATTACCAGAAGTACCGGAGAACCCAGGTGATGAATTACCTTCGACTTCGAACCGAAATTTTGGAAATCCACGCGCTAATCCCGGAGTACAACCTAATACCGAAACACCACAAAGAGGTCAAACTAATCCTGACGATCTTGGGTACTTTTTCAAAGTAATAGATCAGATAATATCACAATATAACTCATCAAGTGATAAAGATAAAAAATAATTCTTTTTACGACCACCTCATCATTGAAGATCAAGAGAGATGGTTGTCATCTTGGTTATTAACATGAAAGTCGAATAATTTTCTGATTTGATCTTAGATACTTGATTTTTATATTTTTCATTGATGTCATTATTTCAACTGTTTGTATCCCATAGAACATCATTGTACGTGTACTCAAATGAGACATTTAAATAGACCTAATGAATATTTTAGAAATTAAACGTAAATTTTAAATTGAGCATTACTAGTTCCCTAAATTTATTGTATAATGAAAGCTTGTTTAAAAAAGTACAATGAAATATATTTAAAAGGAGCCCGTACTAGGCCACCCTGTTCTGACATCAATGTTTAAATGTAATTTCAATGATTTCTCAATCACTATTAATGAAATGAAATATTTTGCTCATTCTTAAAGCATTTAGTAACAGTCAATATTTGCGTATTTTGTATCATAGCCATAAACTTAGCCGTTAGCCGTAAGATAAGACTGGTACGATCTTCAATTGTTTTGTAATTTTTTAAGTTAATTTAACCAGAATATTTGTAACTTTTTTTGTTAAGCCAAAGAAAGTCAATATTATTATTTTTTTTCTTTATATATTTGATAATTGTTGTTATAAAATAATAATCCGAATTTTTAAATCTCATTTAATGGTATTAAAAAAATAATTTCTCTCATTATGTTTAGATCATAAATTACATACGTATTTTGAGACTGAAATTTTCTATTATTTTGTTCTAACTAGTAGGAACCATGATGCATTTAAATAAAAAATATGTATAATAATTCAGTGTTCATTATTAAAAAAAATGTGTTTGTTTTTACATTCTTACTAATAAACATGTTCTTTCTTGAAAAAAATATAATCAAGTAGATTTGAACTTTCGATGATTTCTTAGTCTTATAGTAATTTCATTAGCAGGTAACATGATTAAAAAGATGTAATTGATAAATTAAATAATTAATAATGTTACCATGAAAACCGACATAATCTAGGGATAACAGATGGAAAAGTATCAACATAATTAAAAGAATTGTAATAAAGCATAAATTTCGGTATCATTCATCATAACATATTTTACGTGGTTAAATTACGTATGAAAGTTAAAAGCTTTCGCTGTAATTACGTAACTAGTAACAGTAATTGACGTTGATTGAAACTTTTTTATGACAGAAGGGAAAAGTTCTTTGTCCGCAACACGAAATTATTGAGAAATTTTTTCTCAGCGCTCAAACGGTTTCTTAAAGGTACTACATGCTTATTACATTTTGTACAAGAATAAAAGTAATAATTCCGCATTGATCCTAAATGAATAAGGTCCTAATTATATTAAATTTAATTCCTTGGTTTGAATTTAATGTACTTAATGTTTGTACAATCTATTTATTTTAAATAATGGAAAACCTTTAAGATAATAAATTAAATCGTTTTTAATTATTTTTGGATGGATCTCAAATTAACTTATTTTACTAATCTCTTGGTAACTAATTTTCCCGTAAACTGTTATGTATTTAAATATATCTTTGTACATATATATTATAGACATTTTAACATAATTTTCCAGTATGTAAATAATTTAAGTACTATGTATGTATGTATGTATGTAATACATAAATGGGATTCTATCTTAGAATTATCATCCATCTTACTGATATGTAAAATAAATAAAGATAAGAGACATATAGCCAGCACTTTGAAATAGTTTGCGCAGGTTGTTAAGTGCGGATGCGCACACGCATATAAGAGGGCATGTACAGCAAGAAAGAATGGATATGGCGCCATAAAGTTGTCTTCAAATTAGCAATCGAATCATAAAGCGATTATTTATTAAAAATCTATCATTTATCATGTAATGAATAAGATTCGACCTCTTTGCCCATTTTTTTAAGAAAGCTTCGTGCTCATTTTTCTTCAAATAAAAGAAGTTAAATTAAAAGTCAAATGTGAAACAATGTATAAAGTATCATGTTCTTTAGAAAATTTAAATTTTAGGTAGGTTTTCTTAAAGATCTCTTTGATTATGTTTAAGGTTTTAAATTTATAGCACATTGGAAATATACATACATCTTATTCGAAAGAGTTTTATTTAAATTAAATCAAATGTTCTCTCAAAACTGATTATTTTATCTTGTAGTATTGTTTCAGCAAAGTCTGTTTATTAAGTGATGCCATTTATAATTTTATTAATTATTTCTTGTAACTGTTGGAATTGTAACGTACCATATTTGTTAATATTTCAAGCCTACCGATGTTTTTGTAAAAATTAAGATGTAACGTAATAAAAGTTTGATGTTAGATTCTTATAATATATGTATGTGTATGTACGACATACTGTATGTTTGTAAAATATAAGGAAATTATTGTCTGTTTCTCATTAATAAATTTCTCTGAAAAATGTATTTTTTTTATTTCATAGTTATGGACATATTTTCTAGGTAACTTCACTTACAATGGTTGTCACTCACAACTCACAACCTCAAATACCATTAGCAATTTCCGTCCTGCATTTTCTCACTATTATTGTTTTTTTTACGTTTACGAAAGCTGTTTAAATTGTAGACGTAGTATAAGAAAAAAATATTTCATAGAGTACATAATTATTATTTTAGAACATTTTAAGTTTTAAGTTCGTACTCCTAGTCCTGGTTACCCTATGTACAATATCATAATACAGATAATATCAGAACACAACATAACATCATTATGTTGTGTCCTTCTCACTCGATAACAATTGCAAGTTTAGACATTCCCAACCCAGCTTTATCTCTATTCCTGATAATCACTATTCGATAAATTGTTCCGGATGTAGGTATAAACAAATCGTCGACTATGACTATCAGTGGTCTCTACCACGCTTACCCGTTTTAACATCTTCGCACGAGTGGGCCGGCTCGCTCGGTACAGTACCACGACCACACAGAAGACAGGCGTGAAAAGGAAGCAATTCCGCGTTTCGTCTGATGAGTGTGGTGCTGGAGGCCTAATTTTAGTCCCTTTCCCTTTCCACCCTTTTCTTAAGAGGAAAGGATGGGAAGGAAAAGTGTATTTCACGGTGGAGGAGACGCATAGGAAGGGGAAATATCCTCTTTATGTGAGTCTCCTCCTCTGTCAATTTAGGGTAAGTAACGCATCTGCAATTGCGGATGTCTATGAGCAGCGGTTGCTTTCCATTTCGGTGGATTCAGGTGGCCGCTCGCTCGTTTGCCATCTTATATTATAAAATAAAATGTATAGTGGAAACTGACATGTACTCGTTAAACTATCGGAAGAATTGTCAGAACAGAACTGTACACACTTCCCGACTCCGTAAACGTCAGTTTCCACAGTAGATTACAATTTAAACTGAAGGTGTGTGAAACGGGCTTAAGAATAAATTTGGCGATCAACTTTATCTATTGAGATGTAATTCGATGGAATTATGTTGAAATTAGAATATACTTTAATAATTCATATATAGCTGTACTCTCGTGACATGGCGGTCAGTTCCACTTTAAAATAAAGGACGCGAATTTTGATAAGATATCATTCTTATAGAATACATACGCGACCCAATTTCACATAACAGTAGTCGAGAAACTATAAAATGTTACCACGGCAACCAATGCTGTAAATGGAAAATACTATAGACCTACGAGTATAAGGATCATATGGCAGTTGGCAACTTTGTAAATTAACATTGACAATTTGAAAGCATCGTATTTTAACCTACGAGGTAACGGCAACTCCACGGGTAAATGTCAACATTTTTGGAACGTACACACACCTGAAACTAAACTATAGCACAACTGTTCAGTCCCGCTTTAATTCCTATAAACTTATATGGTGGTGCACACACTAGTAACTTTGTTTTTAGTTATGCAACTAAACAGTTGTATTAGCTGCAAAATAATCGACAATAGCACAAGTTGTGATCAAATTTTGATTTTTTCGATATTACATACAGACACTTCTTATTAACTGGTCAGGCTAAAAAAAAAACATTGAAATGGGCAGTGTTACAATTCTCCTCTTACATAAATTTTGTAAGGTAAATGACCACTAAAGAAACTTAACATATAAAGGCCTCGTCATCATATATTTATAGATTCACAGACGGCGCTCGAAAAGTGGATTCACGAAATGCAATAAGCGACAGATTACCTACTTTTACTGTTTCGCTTATAGACTGTCGGACGTCTCTTATGCATGTCATTGTCACATTTGTTACTCTGTCTATTAGCAAATACGTAACGATAACAACATTAGTAAAATAAGCGTTGCCAGCTAATGTTCTGGGTTTGGTCTAGGGATAGGGAGATACCATAATACTGGTTGGTCAGTGGAAAATACAACCTCTTTGGCTGACAACTGTGAAAAGAGCCAAAGAGGTTGAGTACTGGCTACCGAGATATTGAGTGGCTTATCTATTAAAGAATAGAAGAAAGTGACGCGTACAAGATGTAGTCGCGGGATAGTTTTATAAATTATTTGTAATAGTTTTCATATCTAATTCCCTTTTTGGGAGTCTCTGGGGGTTGCACATGCACCCTTTGCCTACATGTGATCGGTATGTTTCGTTCCGACTTAACGCGCCTTTTGATGTTAATGACAGTTAATCATGTCACTACTTTTAGTTCATAAACTTTACCGCGACCAACCCCAACCATCAGCGCCAAAAAGGTGAAAACCAAATGGACTCAAGAAGCCTACACTGTGCAGAGAAAGCACATACGAGTAAAGCGCCTTCTTACCGATAGATGGCATTTATCACAAATTAATTTTAAGTAAGGCGAAAAGCGACATCTAGATGCCATATAGTGACAACTTTGACTTGCTTCAGCTGGCCACAAGGAGTGATCACTATTAATAAGTTTTTTAATAAGTCGTGTCACAAAGACAAAGCAGGTGAAATGCCTCCTTAATTCTCTATGCCAAGTTTTTTGTTACTATTCTATTAACATTCTTCCTAAAATAAATTTAGGTCTTTTTTTTTTTTTTTTTTTTAAGTGGGGAAATGCGTTACCGCATACCACCGCGCCCTAAGAGGGGAAAGGCGCGGAGGTTATGTTGGGCTCTCTCCCGATAAACGGGAGCCTACCAACTAAAACCCCACTGTCTCCATCGTTTCACCGGGCACCGGGGTTTGGGCACACAAGAAGTATTCATCCACTCCCCGGTGGTGATTGGCGGTTACGCCTCCTCTGATGTTAATCCACTCTTGCGCGGAGAACCACGCGCCCTCTGCTACTCTATCGGAGTGGCGAGCTTCCCCTTATCTCGCCACTCGAGTACGGTCAAGGTGGTAGGGTCCGGGCAAAAGCCCTTCTCCTGCCCCCTCTGCGGCGGCTGCGGTTGGCGTCCCCTCTGGCCACCTCCCTGAGCCTCCCCGCCTCCTCTTTTTGTCTGATGACTATTTCGCAGTACTCCTGGACTGCCCTCCAGACTGCACCCGACTCCGTCATGGCCCTGATCAAGACCGGCAGGGACAGGTCTCCGCCCACTGCGGCCACAAGATCCCGCCTTTGTAGGGTCCACGCCGGACACTCCGCCAGCGTGTGCTGGGCAGTGTCCTCGG